AGGGGGGAGGAAGGGAGAGGGGAGGAAGGGAGAGGGGGATTTCCCTGAGGCAAGAAATCTGTAAACAATGCAGTAAACAAGAGCCTTCAAGAATTCTTTATTTCTAAGTCAATGAAAACATCAATCTTTAAACACTCCCAAACTTCCAGCCCAACGTTCCGCACGGATTCAAACCCACCACACCATAATCATCAACGCGGCCTGGTCGACCAAATTAAACCAACACTCGTTGATTCAAATGTTTTTGCAGACTCAACATTTTTCTTCATTCATAATTGTTCAATTTGCATTTGACAAACTGCTAACTTAGCATAAGGAAAGGGCAGGGACTCGGGGGGGAGCAGGGAGGGGGGCAATTAGAGCACCGCACGATCAGAACACGTCATTACTCCCACCTTCTCCCTCTGCTGTTGAAGAGGTGCGTCCTTCTCCGCAGACTGAACCACGTGTTGATCATTAACCGACAGAGGTCCTCGTTGAGAAATATACAGAGAAATATATGTAGAAATATATGTCCTGATAAGACACTGCGCCGATGACAGACGTGGTGGTTCTAAATACCGGCTCTCAGGACGTTCCTCCACCCTGTTTAATTTCATCTCTCTTCCCATAAACCACTGCGTTTCTAATTGCTCCGTTGGCTTCATTGTTCAGCGTTAATGTCTGCTTAAACAAACGAGATGATCGCTGCACGGCTCTGTGAGCTGCCGGGTGAAACTCAGGTCCTCCACTGAGCCCAGCCGAGCCGAGCCCGCGGGGCTGTTTGGTGAGGTTCAAAGCGGGAGAACAAAACGTTTAAATTAGGATGAATGGCTGCGTTGGAGAAGTCTGAGGACGAAGCAGTTTTAAAGTGCAGAGCCGGACGGAAGAAGGACAGCAACTGTACCAACAGACCGGGTCAGCACAGGTTCTGGACGATATCGTCTGTAATTTTGCTCAGTTTGTTCTGGAAGAGGAACTCGACGCCGTGATTTCTATCAGACTGGGTCCAGTTCTCTGATTGACAGGTGAATTTCCAGGACGACCGTTTCTCAGCTTCACTTCCTGTCATTAACAACATGGACGCTGCTGCAGCTCGGTGGCTCAGCGGTCTGTTTCTGTACGACACACCATTAACAGAGCCCACACCATCGGTTAGCCTAGCCTAGCTTAGCGTTGGTTCAACGTGGACCCTGAGGAGTTACTACTGTAACCTGTAGGACAGACATGTTGGGAATTTATCAGCCAACAAACTGACGATCTGTGACGTGGAGCACGTTACTGTATCAGCCAACAAACTGACGATCTGTGACATGGAGCACGTTACTGTTGGGTCGGTGGTCTAAACCAGGGGTCACTGACCTTTGTGAAACTGAGAGCTACTTCAAGGACACTCAGTAATACAGAGAGCTGCTTGTCTGATACAAACCTCCCCATCAATGTAATAATTATTAGCAGTTAACTTTACAATAAAAAGTGAAGACATTTAAAACCTGTTAACTTCTTCCAAACATTTAAGACGATTAGTGTCTGAAGGAGAAGAACCGTTAACATTTGAGAGGTAGGACAGAACTCACCTGAAAATACGATCAGACGGCTGTTCTCCCATCACAAGATCAAACCCACGCTGGAAGATGGTGTAAGGCCAGGGCCTGGAACAGACAGGGAAGAAGATCAGACACAGACACAGAAAAAAACACATGAAGAGGAAGTTGAATTAAAATCAAAGCTCAGGGATCTTTAAAGGATTCAGTCCTCCTCAACCCTGACCTCCTGACACCCACACTCCACATCAGCACAGGCCGCATCTCCATGTGCACTCTGGGTAAACACGCTGATTTAAAACCTAATGTGAAAGATGACAAGCAACATGACTCTGAGCTCATAACGGTTTACTTGAAAAGGGGATAAAAGGGAGATGACAGCCGGAGACAGGACGAGTGGGGGAGACGGAGCGAGGAGACAATTGAAATGAGACAAAAAGCAAAAGAGCAAAGCAGAAAAGGAGAGAGAGAGGGAGAGAGCGGGGGAGACAGATGCCAAGAGGCTGAAGAGAGACGGGGGAGAATGACGGAGATTAATGGGGAGTGGCAGCTCTGGGACAGAGGCGTGTGCAGAGTGAGTGTGTAAGGAGCAGCAGTGACAGAGGCCAATGTCACTGTGAACAAACTCCTCCACTCTTAGAAGTTAAAGGAACATCAAGGGACAAGCAGGGGTGGGGGGGGGGCGGCGTCAGCCTCCACGACCACAGCCTGTGGTCATTAAACATTTAAATGACCCCAGGAGCCCACTCTGTCACACAGGTGACAGGGACACAGAGAACCAGGGCTGGGAAATGAGATTTAGGAGTTTAAAGACTCCAAAAAGACACACTCCAGGTTACAGGACAATCCAGAAGACACCCCCCCCCCACGACGACAGAGCTGCTGGGGTCCTTCCTGTACGGCGGC